GGGGGGGGGGTGGCGGGCTGGGAATGAGCGGGCGGCGGGGCGGCAAGCAGGGGCAAGGAGCGGCCAGTGGAGCATGGTCGCGCCTGGCCGCACCCGCGGCGCGGCGCGGGACACGAGCTCTGCGGTGCGCGCACCTTGTGCATGGCCTGCTGCGCCTGCAGGCAGCAGGCCACGGCGTCCTGCGCCTCGTAAAACGCGATGCGCCACGAGTCGCCCTCCTGGTCAAACACGTGGCCCGCATTGTCGTTGACCGCCTTGCGCAGCACCGCGTTGTGCATCGACAGCGCCTTGGTGGTCAGGCTCTGGCTTGCCTTCATCAGGGCTGCAAATGGGCCGAGCAATGAGCACAATATGAAGGGATTCGGCGCACGAGAGCAGGCATTAAAGGGCCGACGGCGACGCAGAGGATCCACACCCGCATGCAAGCCGTGCGGCCGGCCTGCGAGGAGGCAAGCCGCACTGGGCGCTTGAGCGCAGGAGGAAAATGCACCCTCGCGCTGCCCGGTTGCTAAGCCTCTGAGGCTGACGGACACGCCCTGTCCAGGCACGCCCCGACCCCCGACGCAGGGGCTTTGCAAAGCCCCTGCGCCTCTGGAGACATGATACTGCTGCCCCTGGGCGCCCGTGCTCACATGAGTAGCCTTCGATGTCGGTCACCACCACGCACACGTTGTCTCCCTCCTTGGGTAACCCTAGCCGCCGCTTCCGCTTGAGCTCCGCCTCCCGCAGCCAACGGCTGCGGAACAGCAGCAGTCGGCTGCTCAGCAGCAGCAGCGAGCCCGCCAGCAGCACGAGGGCGGCGCCGAGCGCGACCAGCACCCAGGTCCAGGCGGGTAGCGAAACCCGGCTGTCCTGCACGCATTCCAGCCGCGTGCCGTTGAGCGACCACACCGGCAGCCAGCCCTCCAGGCAGGCGCAGCCCTGGTACTGATAATAAGCCGGCGGCAGGTCCCACTGCGCCGCGAGAACCTCCTCTGCCTTGTCCGGCGCCGACAGCAGCGCCGCCGGCGGGCACGTCGCCATCACCTCGTCCATCGCCCGCCGCCTGATCGGCCGGCAGCTCATCCTGCTGTTGTCGCTGAGCGGGATCGTGTACGACTCAAAATCCAGGAAGCACGGCAGCAGGCCCTTCTCGGGGCACTTGAAGACGCCGGGGTTGCGCCCAGCGGCGCGCTCCGCCTCGGCGGCCTCTGCGACGTCCTGCGGCACGCAGCTCATGTTGGTGCCGACCAGGCCCACGCGGTGGAGGTGCGCCAGACCGGCGGCCTCGTCGGGGAAGCGGCCGACGAGGGGCGTGTTGTTGGCGAGGATCAGCTCTCGCAGGTTGTAGGCCAGGCTGCGAGGTTGATCGAAAGGGGTCGGCGGGTTCGGATGCAAGAACCCATGAGCGCCGATCGACGCAAATGGGCCAGGGACGGGGGCGGCAGAGGGCGGCAGGCCTCTGGTCGCGGCTGGCAGGCCCGCGGCAAGCCGCTGACCAGGTTAAACTGGCAGGTGTCGATGCAGATGCAGTTGCGGCTCGGGTTCCAAGGTTCAGGGTTTGGTGTTCAGGGGGGCAGACACGTGGGGCGAGGGCCGGCGCCGGCGCCCCGCCAGCGGCCCCGTGGGCCACTCACCCTAGGTTTGGGTCGAGCGTCCCGGTGAAGCGGTTGTTCGCGATGTTCAGGCGCTGGATCTGTGGCAGGAAGAAGAGGCCGCTGCCGACGGCGCCGGTGAGGTGGTTGCCAGAGGCATCAAAATCTGTCAGGTAGATGAGCAGGCTGATGCCGTCGTTTACCTCGCCCACCAGGCTGTGGGTGATCAGGGTTGCAGCAGGCGGTGATAAGGGTTCAGTGGGGCCGGCGATGGGGAGTACGGTATTCGTGGTTGAAAGCGGGGCCGAAAGCGGGGTCCCTTGCGTGACTGCCCCAGGGTCCCGCTGCGTGTCAGGCGGGCTGCAGCAGCTTAAGAAGGGGGTTAAGCGCGGCAGGCCTGGGCCTGGGGCCGGGCCGCACTTGTTGTTGGAGATGTCGAGGTACGTGACCAGGGGGATCTGGTACAGGTCATCGGGCATCTCCCCCGAAAACTTGTTGTGACCCAGCATCAGGGACACCATGTGGTCCCAATCCTGTGCGCGGAGGCGGCGCCGGTTTGCATGTGCTTTGCATGAGCGTGTTTGCATGTGCTTGCATGAGCGCGTTTGCATTTGCTTGCATGCACGCATAAGAACCACGATCAGCACGCGCACGCTCATGCGGTACAACGTGCCAGCCGCGGTGGTCCCCGCGGTTCAGCGCTTCCTCGCCCGCTGCCGCAGCCGGGTTGCCAGGAGCTCCTCCACTCGCTTGGGCCGCAGCGCAGGCGCTGCGCACCTTTGTGGCGGGCAGGCTGCCGGTGAACTCATTGAAACCGAGGTCCAGCGATGCCAGGCGCGTGCACTTTGTGACGGGGCTGGCAGGGCCGCCGATCTGGTTGGCCCGCACGTTGAGCACGCGCATGGATGTGTTGGCGCCGCACAGGTTCGGCGGGATCGTCCCTGTCAGCGAGTTGATCTGCGGGGGGCACGGGTGTAGCGCAGCGCAGGGGCGCGGGCGTCGGTGGTGGCGCGGAGCCGCGCCGTTGGGCGCCGCGTGCAGCTGGTGACGGTCTGTGATGCTCCACGCAGCGGCCCAAACTGCACGTGCGCATACTGTTGCATGCGTAGAGATTCGTGCTGCCACATGCATGGTATCGCCGCGTGCACCAGATATGCTTGGCGCGTGCGCCCGCCACAATCTCTCGCCCACAACGAGCCTGCGCACACAGCCTCCAAACACAGAGTGTTAAATTGAAACCACCCGCGCCATGGTCTGCATGGCCCCACTCTCAAGCTGCACGCCCCATGCAAGTCAGCAGGACAGCACACCAGCTCTCAAAATAGCAGCTGCTTAGCAGCTGCTCACCCACCATACTTGGCCAACTCTCTGCCCTTTCCCAATGCCCCAGACCCCACACCAACATCTCCACTCCTACCCTTTTGATGCTTGTCACAATCCCCACCCAAACCGCGCTTCAGCTCCGCTAACGACCGTCAACAACCGCCAGCAACCGCCAACCCTTCCCTTCCCACACCTGCAGATCCAGCTCCACCAAATTCCTCAGGTTGGCGATGGTGTCAGGTATTGACCCCCTCAGCCCCGCCAGCTCGCCGGGCCCCTCGTTGATGCCCGCGTTGGCGCCCAGGTTGAGCACCCTCAGAAACTTCAGGTCGCCTATCCAGTCGCCGATCGTTCCCGCTAGGAAGTTCTCGCCGAGCTCCAGCTCCTCGAGCTTTTTGAGGTTTGCCAGCTCGGGCGGGATCAGGCCGGCCAGCCAGCTGTTGGCTGCGCGGCGCAGGGGAAGGTGGAGGGGTGGGTGCTAAGAGGGGCGGCGACGGTGGCGCGCAGCAGGGCGGCGGCGGCGCTCTGCGCGCACATGTGGCCGCCCGCAGGACAAACGGGCCGCTGCGAGGTCTTGCGCGGCGGAGCAGCCGTCACCGGCTGCGGCAGGGCGCGCCATGGAGACGCGGCTGGCCGCGTGCGGTTGGCGGGCCGCGGCCCGCCGCCCCGCCCAAGCACGCAGCCGCGCCGCCCTCCGCCCAGCCAGCCCAAGCGCCCTGCACAACAAGCTTCAGCGCCGCGCACCGAGGTTGAGGGTCCTCAGATTGGTGAAGCGCCCCCACCGCGGCCCCAGCTCCCCGCTCATGTCGTTGGACTCGAGGTTGAGCCCCACCATGCCGCATGCGTGCAGCAACTCGAGCGCGTCCATGAGCGGCGGGTCTGAGTAGCTGCCGTTGAGGCTGTCGGCTGTGATGTTGATGACGGCCACGCTGTGCACCGCGCGGCAGGCGCCCGCAGCGAGCCCCGCGGGGTCGCAGCACGCGATGCCGTACCAGCGGCAGTACGCTGGCGGCGCCGCGCCCGCGCCGCGCGGCACGATCGCGCTGCAGGGCCGGCTGCGGGTCACGTTCCAGGTCTCGTCGTGCTGCCAAGGGTTGGACGCGTTGAATGTCAGCCGCAAGAAGGCTGCCAGCGCTTCGCACGTCGCCCGCTGGCAGTCCAACGTGCAGACGCCGCCCGTGACGCCTGGGCACGTCGGCGGCGGCAGCAGTTTGGCGGGGCCGGGCGCACGCCCCGGACCCTGTGGCGCCCCGAGGGCGGGCGCCGCTGTAAAAATTCAAAGGGATGGCGTGTGGGGCAAGGCAAAAACGGATAGGAGTCAACCTTGCTTTTTGGGTCCTGATGTGCCAGCGTCGTGCGGCACGAGGGTGCGCAGCTCAAGACAACCATGGCGGCGCTTGCAGCGCTGTACGCGGCTTGCAAGCATGGGACAGGCCCGAGGGCTCCCAAGCCATTCAGCTGTTCTCTTCTGCTTGCTTGTCTGTCCCGTGCTTACCCCAGGGCACCACCAGCAGGATGCTCGCCACCACAGCGACGAAGGGCACAGCAGTCTCCGTGACTGCCATCTATTTGAGCGTGCTTTATCTTGAACGCGTCATTGGATGAGTCGCTCCGCACTCCGGCAGATCGACTTGCCCGGGGCGCGCACAGGCTCGGGCCAAATGTCAACCAGCCCCCACGTAGTTCATACAATCGTGTATTTATCAAGGGTGCGAACCCAGCACCTTGTTACAGCAATTCGCGGGTGGTCCACCCACCGCCTGTAACCCGCTGTGAGCTCGCACTGTTCGGCCCGCCTGGGGACTAGCAAAGAGATTTTGACATGCAGAATAACGTCCGTGCTTCATACATATTGCCCAGCCTCTCAGGCGGCGTTGACAAAATAAGGCAATGCGCGTTGCGTGCCCCGATTTCCACGATTCACAATGACTCGCCTCACTCGCACTGCCCAGCCGTGTTGTAAGCAGGCCCACCGTTCACCACCCTCTGTAAGACTTGTCTGCATCTGCATGTCATCACACCACAGCCCGTGGATCAAACATCATAAAACCACCACCGCCGCCAGGCCACCCATAACTTACCCCTTCGCCCAACCACCACCATGACCGCAGCAGAGGCGGACCGGCGAAGCGCCAACATACTGATGCAAAACTGCACCCAAACACAGAGCAGAGGTACGCGATATCCATTCAGGTGGCTTAACACTCCTTGCATGAGGCCACTTCGACGGCACGGGAGCCAGCTGCGTCACGTGGCCGTCCTGGCATGCTCGGCTTGACGCCAACACTGGCTAAGCGCGGCCTGCTGTCAAAGGCAGACAAGCGATGACGTGCATGACATCATCACCTGCCACAGTGCGCCCCTGGAAAGTCTAGGGATTGTGGACTTGACTATGAGACTGCAGCAAGCTTTGCTGCGTTCGGCCGGCCTATACACCCCACTCCCACCAAACTCCTGCAACCGCCTCAACTGACTTGAACGATTCCATCAAGAGCTGCAGATATGATGATGTTGATGAGCTGCAGCATCTTACATCACCTCACTGCCACCAACGAGCTGTGTCGATGGCCCCCATCCCACATTGGCTTTCGGGCCCAGTCTGGCCTCGTTGGTGGGATCGTCGCCTTGGCGGCCTGCCCTTCTGCTCTCAAGTAAAGTGAATTATGGACCTTCATGCCAACCATCCTTCGCCTTTGTACCAGTGCAAACTCGTCATCTGTCATCACCATGTGAGCGCACGCCATGTGGGGGCGGGAACAAAAACGACCATACAGTAACGTGCAGCCATCAGCAGGTGCGTTTTGGGCATTCTGAAAATCTACGATTCTTACTGTCCATCCGCATCAGCACCTCGCCGAAAGGAGCCCAACCGAAACACCACCCGTCTTCATCAGACCTGTCACCGTGAACATCGCCGGTGACTGACAGTCGTGGCCGGCCAGGTTCTATCCAGCTGTACACGAGGCATGAAAAGTCCGTGAAAACATCACGTGGAAGTCCGGCTGCCCGGTTCAGATTGCGGGCCAGCCTGGTGCCTACAACTTCAGCTGGCACTGCTGCGAGGATGAGACAGATGCATGTGGCAGGCGAATGACAGCTTGAAGCATGTACAACGCAGCCTTCATGGCCCCGGCCGCGAGGCCGGCGGAGAGTCGCGGCGCTCTGCAGCTGGTGGCGCTTTTGATGCTGTTGTGTGGTGAGCTCACGGGGCCCACGATCACACGAGTTACAACCTGACCAGTGGCGTACAGAAAACATTGGCTGCAAGCTGCAAGCCCTGTATGGCATGGCTTGCCCCGAGTCGCACGGATGCATTGGCACCACGGGCAAGCGTCTCCACAACGCGCCGCCACCGCCGGCATGCGGGCGCATCGACTCGCCATCACTCCCCAGGTGCTCATGCGCAAGGTGCAACTCAGGCAGACGTGCGCACACCGCGCACAGCGCTGCAGAAGGTGCCGCCGCCGCCGACGTGCCCTGGTATCGTCGGCGGCATCTGCACACTGGCCTGCCAGCGCGCGACATGCGACGCCTTATCAGCCTTCTTCCGGCTCACATACAATGTCAGCAGCCCGTGGCAGCACGCCCAGTCCTGGATGGTCACGCGGAGCTTCTCATGCACCCGCATCATCCCCAGCAGCAGCGGCGCCAAGCAGCCCCCCTACTGCCGCTGGTGGGGCGTCACCTGCTGCGACCAAACGGCGCTCGCGGCCGGCGAATGCTGGGCCGTGAACGGCGTGGCCAGCCTGGCGATCAAGGCGGACAACGTCAATGGCAGCTTCTCCAACCCGTCACTGATGGATGCGACGGAGCAGCTGCACGCCTGCGGCATGGTCGGCCTCAACCTCGAATCGAACGACATCTCAGGCGCACTGGAGCCGCGCTGGGGGCGGTTCACCAACCTCACGGTCCTCAACCTCGGTGGGTCCTTTCGTACCTGCACCGTGGCTAACTGGTTGGATGCGTGAATAAGTGATTGATGCGCGGCTGTCAAGACGGCTGCACAGCACCTAGCCAGGGGTCAGCGTATATATGGTGCAGATGTAGGGTGGGTTGTCGTCGGCCTGTGCGACAGTGCACTGGAGCCTGTGCATGCCATCCTAAAACAATTGTGTTAGTATGTATGGCCAGCGTGGCAGCATTTGCCATCAAACTGCCCGCACTCTGCAAACCCCATGGCCCCAAATCCGCACCCTGCAGCCAACAACTGGCTGAGTGGCACGGTGCCTGCAGAGCTTGCGAACCTCAAAAAGCTGCGGCAGCTCGAGCTCGGCACCAACTTCCTCCATGGCAGCATCGGCGACTGGATCGGCAGCCTCAAGGAGCTGCGGGTCCTGAACCTCGGCGCCAATGCGGGCGTCAACCCGCCCGTTGAGACCGCCGCAAAGGAGGGTTCTGAAGCAAAGGCTAGCAAAGATGAGAAGGAAAAGGAGGAGGAAGAGATTACAGGCATGGTGGGGACCATTCCTGCGGCGATTTCCAAGCTGAAGTTTCTCACTGAGCTTGACTTCCAGGTGAGCCCTAGGGCTGGTGACGCACGGGGGTGGGCGGTGGCGCGATGGCCGCAGCAGCCTCTTCCTCCGCCACTGCTCCCGCCACAGCAGCTGCGGCTGCTCTTGCTGCCACTGCCGCTACTGCCGCCGCTGCCGCTGCTACTGCTGGTGCTGCCGCTGCTGCTGCTGCTGCTGCTGCTGCTGCTGCTGCTGCTGCTGCTGCTGCTGCTGCTGGCACCCGCAATGGTGCAGGGCTCCCTTTGGAGTCCTGCGATGATGAGCATAGTGGCCACAAGGATTGCCCGAAAACTGCTATGGCAATATACTCACCTCCAACCCCCTGCCTTATCCTCGTCCTGCCAGCTGAACGCCTTGACAGGCACCATACCGCCAGACATATGTGGTCGCGATTCGCAGCTGGCCGTCCTGAACCTACACAGCAACCGCTTGAAGGGCTCCGCCACGGCAGCCCTCAACTGCCTGCAGCTGGCGTCCTTGGACCTGTCTTCAAATCGCTTGACGGGCAGCGTCCCTGCAACAAAGGTGCGTATTGCGGCGAGCAGAGGGAGCACAGAGGAGGGACACTCAGGCCAGCAGCAGAGAGGCGGCCACTATCCAGATCGGCATGCAGCACACAGCGCGCTTGCTTTCTTTGAAATATTGAATGACGAGCCAGCCCGGGCATTACAACCGCAGCATCCCAAACAGGCCTGGCCATCACAATGCGTACATGTGCACATGCCACTCACACTTAAAACAAATTGCAGAATTGGACCCAGATGGTTTCAATGAAGCTGGGCCGCAACAAGTTTGAAGGAGTTCTGCCAGACCCCATATTCCGCATGCAGCTGCTGACATATCTGGACTTGTCTGGCAACAGGTCAGTCCCCCCTTTGTCCCCGGGACTGAACCCTGCTTTGGTGTCGATGTATGCGCCTGGCTTACACGCCCAAAGCTCCCCAAGGCACACCGTTGCAAGTCTGAAACCCTTCTTGCCATCACCCCCAAATGTGGCGTCGTGCGGACAGACTCACAGGAGGGTTTGATGACCGCATCAGCTTGATGACCTTCCTGACTCACTTCGACGTCTCCGGAAACAAGCTTTCTGGTTCGATTGGGCGTGGCCTGTGGTTCCTTCCGCAGATCGCCCGCGTCAACCTCGCAAACAACAACTTCACCGGCACACTCAACCCCTCGCTTGGGTGAGTCTTGTGATCTCTGCTGCGGCTGCATCGGTCAAACTGGCTCCCAGGCAGACTCAGGACTGCCCTTATGCCGTAGCTCGCCCGTGCGATGGCCTTGGTTTGAGTCACTGCTGAGCTGTCTAGAGCAGCCATGGGTTACACAGGCTGATTAGCTGTGACATCACGTGCTTCCGCCCTCACCCATCTGCAGTTTTGCCTGGAACCTGCGGGAGATGGTCCTGGCCAACAACACGGGCTTGGTCGGCCGCCTGCCCGACGAGGCTGCCGGCCTGGCGCACCTCCACCGCGTCGGCCTGCGGGGCACCAACATGAGCTGTGTCCCGGCAGAGCTCGCTGAGGCCCACGCGGCAGAGCGCGCCAAGGGCCGGGAGCCGCCGCCGTACAGATGTGCCGGGGAGAACGTTCTGCCCTGCTTCCTGGAGTTTGCGGGCTATACGATCCCCCTCAGCGACAACAGCAAGATGAGCTGCCGGCCCATCAGGAAGCTGTCTCCCGACAGGATCATCACTGTCTGCCCCCCCGCGGCGCTCTACCTGCTGCCCGACCCGAGCCTGGAAGTGCTCGCGGCGCAGTGGGACCTGTCGCCCTCATACTACCAATACCAGGGCTGCGTCTGCCTCGAGGGCCACAAAGCGGTGTGGAGCCGCGACGGCACGGTGATGCGCTGCGAATACACCCGTACCCTGTCGGCGTCGATGTGGGTGTTGGTCGGCCTCGGCGCGGCAATCGCGCTGCTCGCGCTGTCGCTGCTGCTGCTCAGCCGGCGCCTGCTGCTGTTCCGCAGCCGGTGGTTGAGGGAGGCGGAGCTCAAGCGCAAGCGGCGGCTGGGGGTGCCCAAAGACGGGGCGAATGTTTCCATCGTAATCACCGACATCGAGGCCTATTCGGGTGAGTGGCTTTGTCCGATATCTGAGAATGAGTCACGGCCAGCAACTTCAGGATCATTTGCTGTCGGGCCCAGACTCTTGGAATCGGCCAAGCGATGGCTGTCTTGCATGATCGTGATGCTTGCCAAATCAGGTCAATTTGTCGGCCTTGGGTGGGGACTGGGCATGCTGTCACTTTGGCTGTCACAAGCCTGGTCCCTTACTCACCGCCTCCACGTCTCCTGACGCAGTCCTGATGAAGACCAGCCCGGCCCTGGCCACCAAGGCGCTGTCGATGCACAACGCGGTGCTGCGCAAGGCGGCCGCCGACAACGCGGGCCACGTCATCGACCAGGAGGGCGACTCCTGGGGCCTCGCCTTTTACGACGCGCAGGACGCCGTGGCCTTCTGCCTGCAGGCGCAGCAGGCCATGCACAAGGTGCGTGGTGCTAAGAACTGTGGTGACGTGTCGTGCGCCCTTGGAAGTGCATCTGCATTTGCACACATCTGCAGATGTCAACATCAACTGGTTTGCAAGCGCAACAAAGAGATAAGACAACCAATCATGGCCTCTCTGTCTGAAAATGAGCGGAGCATCTTGACGACGCGCTGCCACCATGTCCTCACCAAACGCGCCCCCGACCCGCGTTCCAGGTGGACTGGTCGGCTGGCCTCATTGGCAATGACACCCACCAGGGAAAGCATCACGGCCAGCCCAGTGAGAACGTCGGCTTCAACAAGGGCAGCACCACAACAGGCGGCCATCCCAGCCGCCTGCGGCAGCTGCTCGGCGTTGGAAGCCTGGGTGTGGCGTCGTACACTTCCGACGCGGCTGCTACCCACGGCTGGCTGCCCATGCGGCCCACAGTGCCGCTGGCAACGCTGCCGTCGTTCAGCGGCAGCGGCAGCGACAGCCGCGACGACAATGTCACGGCGGACGACAGCTTGGTCAACGCAAACAGCACGAGCAGCAGCCTGCCGCCGGGCGCGCTGCGAGCGTCGAGCGACACCGTCGACGGGAGCGTCGGCGGCGCGTCGCTGGTTGGGGTGTCGCTCCAGCAGGGCGGCAAGGGGTTCGGCGAGAGGCAGGCGCGCGTTGACGCGCCGGGCAGCGCGTTCATGAAGCTGCTGATGCGGCAGGGCAGCGACAGCACCACCAGCCATGACAGCGTGTTTTGCGGCCTCAGGGTGCGTATGGGGGTAGCTACCGGGAAGCTGCCGCTCGGCGATGACATCACGAGGAGCGGCGTGTTTGACCTGGCCAAGGGTGAGATGATCAAGATCGACGTTGACGATGCCTGCTCTGCTGCATCAGCTTGCAGATAAATTCTATTATGAAGCCCTAAACTGTGAACCACAGCTCGGATGGCACGCCTTTCTTGCCGCCCCTGTGACTGTTTGTCGTCTCTCGCCAGCCTTGACTGCTGGCGCTCCACTATAATTCCCGGAGTACATGCTCACATGGCTGATCAATCAGCCGCCCCGCGGCCTCCTTGCCGCCCGCAGTGGTGTCTGACATGGCAAACGGCGGCCAGGTGCTGATGGATGCTGAGACCTTTGAGCAGATCAGGGACGAGCGCAGCCTGGCCGCGGTGGACCACCACGGCTACAACGACAAGGTCTTCGCGGAACAAACGGGCTCAGGGTTGTTGTGCACTCACGGCAACTGCAGGTGCGGGGTGACGTGCAGGCGCGTGGGGCAGGCCTGGTATAGGCGCGCATACAGCAGTAGAAGTGAGGCATGCAAGGGCCTCAAAGTTTGCCGCCAGTCGGTGATTGTCAGGCACGCACCGTGCAGCACACGTCATATGCACGCATTCTTGTTCTCTCATGCATCCTCTCAATTCTTCCTATCTGCCTGCCGCCATTACAGCGTCCCCAAGTGGCTGCGCCCCAGCTGCTCTCGAGCGGACGAGGAAACAACCGCTGTCCCTGCCTTGAAGGCTTCAAAGCTCGTGATCTTAGACATGGGGGAGTACGAGGTTCCGGGCATCAACCTCGAGTTGGTGGTGTCGGGCCAGGCGCCCAGGCAGCAGCAGGGCCCCGCCGACGGCGGCAAGCGCGCCGGTCAGCAGCCGCAGGACCAGGAGCAGCAGGAGCGGCGGCGGCAGCGGCAGCAGCGGAGACGCAAGTCGGGGCGCCTGCGCGTCTACAGCGTGGCGCCCAGCTGCCTAGCCGACAGGGCCAGGGAGTGGGGCAACTCGCTGGCCTTCAAGGAGGGCTGGCGCCAGACTGACCGCGGCTTTTTTGAAGCGCCCGGCGCTGTCGGCGCCGCGACCCTCACACTGCGCGACGCGGCGGTGGCGCCCGACCTCATGCCTCATGTGACCGTCGTGTGCGCTGGGGTTGAGGGCGCCAAGTGGCTTGTGCGGTGGCGGCACGCGGGCGAGGTGCGGGAGATGGCGCGCCTGCTGCGCATGGTGTACGTGGCGGCGCTGCGCGCGGTGCCAGGCGGCTACCTGTGCCGCGAGCAGGAGGGCGGCCTGCGCTACATGCTGGCGTTCCGCGACGCAGAGGGCGCGCTGCAGTGGTGCCTGCTGGTGCAGGAGGCGCTCATGTACGCGCCCTGGCCGGCGGCGCTGCTGGCGCTCCCCGAGTTTGGAGAGGAGCACGCGCCTGACAGCGGCACGCTGCTGTTCAGGGGACCGCGCGTGAAGATGGGCGTGTGCAAGGGCCGGCCGCGCAGCCTGGTGGCGAACGAGGAGGGGCGCGCCGACTACTTTGGCGCGAGCGTCAACCAGGCGGCGCGCTACATGGACGCGGCGGCGTGCGGCGGCCAGGTGGCGTGCGAGATACAGCTTATTGAGGCCGTCTTCAAGTGAGCGGGGGCGCAGGTGGACCTGGTTGCAGCACCGTGCCGCCTGTGTTGCACCTGCCCATGATGGTGAAGGCACGGCATCGGCACATGCCTGGCTGGCACGGCATCGCAACATGCCTGGTTGGCTATGAGCCACGCGACCTGCAAGATTCTCATGCGCTACCATCTCGTTTCGATGCTGCCGACCCGCTCAAACTTGCTGCAGGGACTGGCGGCTGCACGACCAGGGTGCGGCGGCCGCGGCGGCGGCGAAGGCGGCGCAGGCGGCGGTGCCGGCAGTGGCGGCGCTGCGGCAGCAGCCTAACAATGGCCCGCTCGTCCTGTCAG